GCGGCCTGTGCTTCTCAGGAAACCAGGCACTGATATGGAGCATCAGCAGCCAGCTTGACCTGAACATTTAAACAAACATTCCATCACCCTCGTTTCCTTTTCCTGCGAGACAGTTTTTCTTTCTGAGAGGTTTTCACACCGAGAAGCTAATTGTAGAATTCCAGAGGGAATGTGGCGCCCTGAACACTCTTTGCACAGCAGAAAATGTCTCGTTTCATGTGTGCAGGAACACACACAAAGGAAATTTATTATATCTCATTGGGTTTCTACTGATGGTAGCTCCTTAACAGATATTGGGAAGGTAATCTTTTTTAACTACAACTCCCCAAACCCCCCTGCTAGTTCCTGTTCAGACTGCTGATCCAGGGATGAAAAAAAATCAGCTGCCAAGCAAGTGGTAGCCAGCAATATCTACACACATTATATGGGAATAGGGCCATCACCATAAATGCTGCTGCCTGAGGTGAAGAACGAGTCTCCTCCCTAATATATGTATAGAAACCAGCAAGACTGGCAACTGAATTCTACTTCACCAATCACAATTATGCATATATATATGCATATAGTATTTATATCCTACATTTCCTTCAGTTAGTCAAACCTACATACATGGGCTTCCTCCCCCTCAGTGTATCCTCATGATAATCCTCTGAGGTAGGCCACGTTGAAAGAGTATGGCTGCCCCATGGTCACTCCTACATACATGGGCTTCCTTCCCCTCAGTGTATCCTCATGATAATCCTCTGAGGTAGGCCACGTTGAAAGAGTATGGCTACCCCATGGTCACTCAATGAGTTTCATGAGCAAGTGGGAATTTGAACCCAACCTCCAGAGTCATAGATCATCGTTCTAATGAACCTGGGGACAGCAGGTTGGGGCAGTAAGTCTTAAATGTCTGGAAATTGCTGCTGGTAGTCCCAGCAGGCATGGCAAGAAGTGAGAACTGTTTTTGGAAAGTGTTCTCCAGGACCAAAGGGGTCCTAAGGCAGGCTAGGAATGTCATCAGGTTGGGGAATAGGAAACTTCCCGGACCACGTCTGATGGCATCACCGGACTTATATGGTATAATTTTATGTTACTGGATTACAGCCCATGAGAACAGGAGTTTGGGGGTGAGTAGAAGAACAGCCAGAGACAGCATGGCATAAAGCATGCACCGGGTATGCCACGGACGTACAGCACTCAGGCACAGCTGTGACTACAGGGTGGGGCCACTGGACCTTTACCCAGGATGCCCAGATTTAAAAGTGGTGGCACTGCGGACTAAACTGCAGAAGCCTGTGCTGCAGGGTCAGAAGACCAAGCAGTCGTAAGATCGAATCCACGCGATGGAGTGAGCTCCTGTCGTTTGTCCCAGCTCCCGCCAACCTAGCGGTTCGAAAGCATGCAAAATGC